TCATATATTTCAATTATAAGCATGTTCCCGGAGGTTTCTAATTGAGGCATTGACATAATGAACATGTTGACTCCAATGAACATTTGGACTATCGATAACTTTGCCCCATATTTTGAGAGTGGAATACTTAAAAAAGACTGTGCTATAAGTTCCAAGGTCCCTAGCACATTATTATAGACCATTTGAAACAACATTTTACATGAAAGTTACTTATTGAATGGATTAATCGGTGTACTAGATCATCTTGAGGCCGTAACAAAGTCTAAGAGCATCTTACTGAGCTGGGTACTGGCTGGCTGGGGGCTGGGTTTCCACAAATGGTGAATCTGGTATTCAGCTCCTCTGCAAGATGGGCCTGAACATCCAAGCCACTTGGTGGAGGAGATGGGAAGGCCTGATTGCCATACACGCTGGCTTCATCTTCTCTTATAACTTCCCAGTTCTAAAATGAACAGAATAAGCTTGAGCCACACACTCTTTAATCTGCTGTGACCACACGTGCTTATCAGTGCAAACAAGAAAACGACTTATACCTCGGAAGACTCTCGGTTGTCAGCACTTTCTGTCTCTTCGGATATTTGCCGCCTCGTGGTAAATGCGCGTTGTGCTCGTAGCTGCATGTTACCATCCTCGGCCTCTGTTAGGTTGTCCCTGTATTGGAAATATAAGAAGTAATCACCTGTAACTTAAGATAGTAAAAATGAGAGCCAACGTTTCTGTGATCATTTGAAGAACATCTCTATTATCGACAGATCAGAAGTGAGTGTTTTTTATTTTGAGAGAGATTTTTCTTATATGGTGCATGCACTCGCCAGAAAGACAGAGCATGACAGAGAGACAGAAAGTCAGAAGTCACCGGTCGCACCACAGTCCCTTCTCCTCCATTCTCTTCTCTGAATTTTTTTGGGGGCACACATTGACATGCACCTGGCATGAGTTTCAAGCCTCCGGGTTTAGGACACAAACAGTGGTCGGCCATGTGGGAGTCCAGCAACATAACCATTACAACATCTGCTGGTCCCAGAACTTAGTGATTTTAGCAAAAAACATGTACAGATTAAATTGCGGCACGCTGGTATCTTCAGAGTACCCTTTGTTCTTTTACATTTTGCCATGCACTTGCCATAGAGAGAGGGAAAGTGAGAAATCATTTCCTGGGGGTATGGCCATGCCACAATCCCTTCTCTTCCATTCTCCTTTCAGGATTTAGGGCACACACACATGTGCGCCCAGCATGAATTTCAAGCCTATGGATCTGGGATTTGAACCATGGTCCACGCTCACCATGTAGGACCTAGGATACCATGTGACATGGGCACTCAAAAATATCTGTTGGATGAATGAATATAAGAGTTTCATAGGGGCCAGCAGGTGGTGTGGTGGTTAAGACACTGGTCTCGCACACAGCCAACCACAGTTTGAGCCCCCAATCTAGCAACTTAAAAATGGCATTGGGTGCATGTGTGTGCTCAAAATCCTGGAGGGAGAATGGAGGAGATGGGAATGCGGCATGGCCCTCCCTGACAGGGGATAATTTCTCACTTTCCCCCTCACTGTCTCTCTCTGGTGAGCACATGTGCCCTATAGCAAAACCTTTTTAAAAAAGAAAAGAAGGAACCAGCAGTTAGTGTAATGGCTATGTCACTGGACTCCCACGTAGTCGACCATGGTTCGCGTCCCAGACCCAGTGGGTTAAACCTGACGCCGGGCGCATGTGTGTGCGTGCCCAAGATCCTGAGAGGAGAATGGAGGAGAAGGGATTGTGGCGTGGCCATCCCCCCTGGGGGGTGATTTCTCACTTTCTGTCTCTATGTCTCTCTCTGTCTGTCTGGCGAGCGCATGTGCCCTATAGCGAAAAATACCTCTCCAAAAAAAAATAAAAGAAAGAAAAGAAAAGAAAAAGGAGTTTCATAAATAATTTCATTTTGGGACCAGCAGTTGGCATAATGGCTATGTTGCTGGACTCCCATGTAGTCGACTGTGGTTCAAGTCCTGGACGCAGGACTTGAACTCCATTCTCTCTGTCTTTCTGGCGAGTGCACGTGCCCTGTAGTAAAAACCTCTCAAAAAATAATAATTATTACGTCATCATGTTAATAGAACAGTAAAGTCTAAAATAACTCTGGAGTTAATATACAGCTTCATGAATTGCACAGTACATTTTCTAGAACTGGTCTTAAGACAGGAGTAGAGTTCCCATGTGTGCATGCAGAGGACAGAATGAAAGACAGTATAAGAACTCTAATAAAAAGCTTAATAGATGAGGGATTAAATAGTTTCTGCTTTTTTTTTTCTCTTCTTTTTTAAGTTATTTGTCATAGGGCATGCGTGCCTGCCAAAGAGACAGAAACAGAGAAGGGAAAGTGAGAAGTCACCCCTCAAGGAGGATGGCCACACTGCAATTCCTTCTCCTCCATTCTCTTCCTGAGATTTTGGGCAGGCATGCACATGCACTTGGTGTGAGTCTCAAGCCACTGGATCTGGGACACAAACTGTGGTTGGCTATGTGGGAGCCCAATGCCTTAACCACTGTACTGCCTGCTGGCCCTGGTTTTTGCTTTTAATTTTTTCAGGCAATCATAGTCCTGGTCTGAAAAGGGATAATAATAAAGGCTTCTCTGAGTTTAGGAAAGCTATGATAAATCAGACAAAATACCCTTAACTCTAGTCATTTATCAGTTATGTTATTATGGTTATTTGAATTTTATATAACAGACTACTAGAGGAATACATTTTTTCACATATTTCATAACAAAATTATTGCTGATTTAAAATGTCATATAAGTCCAGGACGGCCCAAACCACTTCTCACTGTACTATATAGCTGGAAAAAACCTTAACTCTGATAGACGATCCTGAGGAAATTCTCCAGTTACTTTTCCCCTAAGTACTTGATTTTGGCCAGCTGACAACAACATTGGCCACAGTGAAAGAAATGTAATGTTTCTCCAGTCAGGCTGGCCACAATACTGAGGTATGCAGGAGGGCGATTTTGCAGAATAAAAAAAAAAAAAAAAACATTATTGCCAGAGAGAGAGACACACACACACCGAGTCAGAAAAAGAGAGACAAAAATCAAACAAGCAAACAAAACGCAGTGGGGCAAGGTTACGCGGCCATTCTTTTTCCTCATTTCGCTTTCCCATCAGGATTTCCGGCTTACATATAAACATGCCCAGTGTGGTTTTTAAGACACTGGGGACAGCACTTGATCCATGGTCAGCTATGAGAGATGGGGTTCTCAGTGTACACTGCTTAATATTGTGCTGCGGGACCAGTCTCATTCTGCAGAACTTGACAGTGCCTTCAGTCCTGTGGTCTGCGTGTTACCCTGTGGAGACCGATGCCTCTGAATGGGATCTTAGATGGCTGACTTGCTTTGGCAGAATTTGAGAACAGAAAATATCTATGAAAGTAGTTGGTATATATCAGATACAAACTATCAATGCCCCAAATTAGGAAGTTAATGAATGAATAAGAAAAAGTAGGGACCAGCAGAGGCGTAATGGTGCCATTGCTGGACTCCGACGTAGTTACCGTGGGTCAAGTCCCAGATCTGGTGGCTTAAAACTCATGCTGGGTGTGTGTGCATGAATGACCAAGACTCCAGGAGGAGAACAGAGGAGAAAGGATTGCTGCATGGCCATCCCCCCCCTGGGGGTGATTTCTCGCTTTCTGTCTCTCTGGTGAAGTATATGTGCTCTATAGCAAAAATCTTGTGTGTTAAAAAGAAGACTAAAGAAAATTTTCTTAGGACAAAATGCAAGGGGATTTGATAACACATACAAATAATGGGAGAATTTGTAAAGGTATGTGCAAAATAACGGTGATAAAATAAAAATGTCACTGAAGAGACAAAACACTATGTTAGAGGTCGTTCTGCCTCTGACCTGTGTACACTGGAAGTTACCCGAATGCTGATCAGACTGTCGCATGGGCTTTTAACATAAGACTCCTGTTGAACCCTCTATATTTTAAAAATAATGTATATTTTAAAATGGGGTAGTCGTCAGATGGTGGCACAGTGGTAAAAAGTGAAGCTCTGCCAGGCAATCCCACATGGGAAGGTTCTCAGTTCAAGTCTGGAGACCTTCCTGAGTATGCCAAACACATGCCTGCCCAGGATTCAAGACTGGCTGGGGGCTGAGGTGGACTGTGAAATAAACTTTTTTTTAGGGGCTGGTAGGTGGCATGGTGGTTAAGGGTGCTGAACTCCTATATGGCTGACAGTGGTTCAAGTCCCAGACCTGGTGGCTTGCTTTCTCATTTGCTCTCTCTCTCTCTCTGTCTCTCTCTAGTTGAATTGAAATAAAATAAATAAAGTTGAATAAAATAATTCTTTAAAAGAAAAAGAAAAACTTTTGTTAAAGGGTACTATAGGTATTGACATTTAATTTAATTTTTTTGAGAGAGATTTTTGCTATAGGACGTGTACACTCATTGGAGAGACAGAGAAACAGAAAGTGAGAAATCACCCCCCAGAGGGGATCCATGCCGCAATCCCTTCTCCTCCACCCTCCCCTCAGGATCTTGGGTATCCCTGCACATGCACCGGGCATGAGTTTTAAGCTGCTGGGTCAGGGACTCGAACTGTGGGTGACTGTGGGAGTCCAGCAACACAACCATTACACCATTTGCTGGCCCTACATTTTCTGTAAGAGCTACTAAATCTGTCTAAACAGAGAAATGTACCATTTGTGGCTACATCATAATAAAGAATTTATTCAAAAGAACCAATTAGGGGGCTGGCAGATGGCCTGTTGATTAAAGATGCTAGACTCCCACATGGCTGACTGCAGTTTGAGTCTCGGAACTTGCAGCTTGCTTTCTCACTTTCTCTCTCTCTGTCTTTCTCTGGTCAAATGAAAATAAATAAAAATAAATAAACTTAAATACAAAAATTTAAAAAAAGAGCCAATTAGAAGGATAATATTTCTGATTCAGATAATTTAGAATATAATCAACTGATTTAGAAAGGAAATAGCTGGGGCCAGCAGGTGGCACAGAGGTTAAGGTGGCTGGATCCCACATGGCCAGCTGTGCAGTCTAAGTCTAGACCCTGCAGCTTAAAATTCACACCGGGCATGTGGAGAATGCATTACCAAAATCCCAAGGGGAGAAGGGATTGTGGTGTGGCCATCCCCCTGTGAGTTGGTTTCTTACTTTTCCATATCTCTCTCTTTTTGTCTCTGGAAAGTGCACACAAGGCTGGATCCCACATGGCCAGCTGTGCAGTCTAAGTCTAGACCCTGCAGCTTAAAATTCACACCGGGCATGTGGAGAATGCATTACCAAAATCCCAAGGGGAGAAGGGATTGTGGTGTGGCCATCCCCCTGTGAGTTGGTTTCTCACTTTTCCATATCTCTCTCTTTTTGTCTCTGGAAAGTGCACACAACCTATAACAAAATGAGAAAGAGAGAGAGAGAATAGCTGAAGTAGTATTTTTTAAGATTTGGGCCATAAAAAATAATCTGATATTCTTATAGTTTATAAATCCCTATACTGTTCTGAATTCCTTTGAGATAGGACTTCGAAATGAAAATCAGTACTGAGAACGTATCCAGGTCCAAACGTGAAAGGCACTGGCACATACTGAGGGGAGGGTCTTTTCCACTGTGTCCTCCGAGATTCGTGGTTGGCGTAGTAGGTCCTTCCCAGGACATCCTGCCTCTCTTCCCATCCTGGAGGTAGAGGAGAAGGTTCTTGCTGTGGCTGCAAGTGGCAAGCAGCATCTGGTTGGTCCAAAACAACCCAGCCAGGCTGAAAAACAAAATGGAAACCACTGAGTTCATGCTGAATTATCGGAGCCTTATTAATTGCAAGCTACAGGAAATTCAAAAAGAGATTTACCGTGTTCTGTTCTAGAAATTATGCACAGACAGAATTGGCACACCATCGGCTATTTAAGACCACAATATGAACGTGTTATGATAATGGAGACTTCTTTTTTACAAAATAACTGCTTACATTTTATTTGAAACTGTTTTTAAATGTTTTTAAATTAGAAAGCATATCTAACAGGAAAAGGGGACATGAAAACTCTTAAATATGATGTGAAGTTGGAGAGTACTGAGGAACTGAGAATAACTGAAATGAGTAAAACATGCTGTCTAAATTATTCACGACTGGATGAGGGGAGAGACGTGCCTTCTTGGTCACCGTCTGTCCCACAGGGAAAGTACTGTGCCTATGCTAGAAATCAATAACCACCCGAAACGCCAGAGTCATCAGAAAAACATCACCTCCGTAGAAATTACAGAGGAGGGCAAACAATTCCGATGCAATTGCTCAGTGAACGCTGCAGTACTGGAAATGTCACTATGATTCTCCTGTCTGATTTGTTTTTTTTCTCCTCTGGCCAAAGGAAAAGCATTTTGGTCAAGTCATAAATGACAAAAGAAAAAAAAAATTTTTTTTGGAGCAATTTTCACTATAGGGCGTGTGCACTCGCCAGACAGACAGAGACATAGAGACAGGAAGCGAGAAATCACCCCCCAGGGGGGATGGTCACGCCGCAATCCCTTCTCCTCCATTCTCCTCTCGGGATCTTGGGCACGCACACACACGTGCCCGGCGCAAGTTTTAAGCCACCGGGTCCGGAACGCAAACCGTGGTCGACTACATGGGAGTCCAGCGACATAGCCATTATGCTAACTGCTGGTTCCCAAGAAAGAAATATTTTTAAAAATGCTCTGGAAGTTTGTTTTCTCCAAGACTAGCAAGAGGCAAAATATACACAGAGCTTTGGCTAGTGTAACTAAAATAAAGAATTAAGGGACCAGCAGGTGGTGTAGTAGTTAAGGCATTGGAATCCCATGTGGTTGACCGTGGTTCGAGCCCCAGATCTCACAGCCTGAAACTCATGCAGGGCGCATGAGCATGCGTGCCCAAAATCTGAAGAGGAGAATGGAGGAGAGGGATTGCAATATGGCCATCCCTCCTGGGGGGGGGGGGGTTTCTCACTTTCTGTTTTTCTCTG